CTCACATTTTTTTTAGCCCTTCTCATATAGGGATGTTAATACTACACGTAGTTATATTTCCAAGTTGAAACTGTATTATAAAAAAATGGCTTCCCAAGGCAAGGTGGATTTCAGAGGAATGGTACAAATTATTGGCTTTTAGGAGTTATTTTGTGCTAAGTCTGTGAAGAACACATTTGGATAAAAAAGGGAATGCTGGGTTGTGTCCAGTAATGATTTGTTAAGCCATAGGTTTTGGCTATTTGCCATAATCACTAACTACATGGCAATCTGGTAACATGTCACTATCGTTGGCCTGCTTTTGCTTTCTCAACTGTTGTTCAGAATTTATAAGACTATCTCTACTGCCAAACAAATGAAATCAGAGGCTATTTGTAGTGCCAGTTCATTAGTGGTGGCTTCTTTTTGCAAAAATTATAACTACTGAGTTATGACGCATATTTGTTAAGGAGCAACTAGCATGCCATGACTTTAATACCCTTTCATTTAGAGCTTCTCACCGTGTATACTCCAACAGTATTTGTGTTTGTATGTCCTTCCTTCACTCTGCTACAAGCATCTAGACACCATGGCTGAACATGGGGGACTGTCAAGAGCAAGGGTGATGGATCAGCTCAACTCTGGGGATAATTAAGTATCTCATGATTTTCTTTCTGCGTCCACAAGGCTTTTTGTTCTGATTCTACGGTAAGTTCTTGGCCATATTCAAGTGCTGATTATTTCACAATCACAATATTAAATGCATGTATACGAGGGTTTAAGGAATTAGTTGATAGACCTTATTACTTGTGTAACTACAGTTCTATGGGGCAATTCAACACCAAACCAGGAGTTTCTTCTGAACCTAGATCTGAGGGGTCTTTGGAGAACTTGGCAGGAAGGGTGTCCCATAGTGTAACTTGTTCCCTCATGCCTGTTACTCAGAGCTATCTTAGGACAGACACCTGCCAGTCCAACCAGTTTTAGGCCAGACAAGGTCTTGTTGGGACCCTAGTAGCTTCAGAAACAGTACTAGACGTGGCCAACACTCTGCTTGGAGAAAGCCCAGAAGATTAATGCTTGGTCTCTGCCCATCACATACACACACAACCAAGACTTTCACCCTAAACATGTATTTTTTTAGGTTTCCAGAAGGGGAAAGAAAACATTTCATTTTAAAATCATGGTTTGGAAAACAAAGACATGTAATCAATGGGCAGACTATTAACTAGTAGGAATTTTCACAGCTTCTTTAGAGGGTTTGGCAATGTGATGGAAGAAACATAATATTCTCTCTCTCTCTCTCTCTCTCTCTTTCTCTCTCTCTCTCCCCCTCACTTTTTTCGTGTGTGTGTGTGTGTGTGTGTGTGTGTGTGTGTGTGTGTGTGCATGCGCATGCTCTTGCAGATGTGCTGCTGTCTCTCAGAATGCTGGAAAAACTCACTGGCATAATAACAAGAAGGCAGGTTGAGTTTATGAAAAGAGAACCCTGCAAGTCGTTGTGTATGTCTGGAAGGGATATTTTTACTAGAGCTCTGTTTTTGTATTTTCTTCTTGCTGCCTGTGTTGGTAACATGCTGTGATCGGCATGCATTTGATTAACCTCTATCTATCATTGCTTAAGAGTCACTGAGAATTTGCTCCACTTTCAGCCCAAGAAATATTAATTACGTTGATGGATTGAACAGAAATGAAAGATCTTTTGCATGTGCCAAGACTGGCCAAAGCCTTGAATGACATAGTATGCACTCAGCTGCCTACCTGATGGCCAGAGGCATTTTAAGAATCCTACATTCTTGTTTGATCTCCTTAACTTTTATACTTCAGAGGTTTTATTGGTCTTGTTCTGATAATCTCAGATGTAACCGCAGCAAGTCTCAAGTTTGCTGTTGAAAGTCATATACTTAAAAGCAATTTAGATAATTGTGAGTAGAATGGCTGACACTATTTAAAAACTGTTCTGCTTCTGTTAGCCCTCCCCCTAATGCTGGTGACAGTAAGTGCTAATTCTCTTTGAGCTTGTGAATGTTCTCCATGAGTCCCTTACTTGGGCAATCGTCCTTGCTTCTACCTACTATCCTCCTATTTGGAGGTTGCTTTCATTTTTCTTTTTTGCCTATATGAAGGGATAAATTGCTCAGAAGTCTGGATTCAATGACAAAGCAACACACTGGAATGTAGAGGACTTGGAGAAACTCCAGAGGGGAGCAGTGGAAATGATTAAACCGAAGGCTGGCAGATAGGACCGCCGGGGGAACATTGAAGGATTGGAATCATTTAATGCAGAAAGAGAAGACAGAGGAGCAGCCCAATAACTCTCACAGAATGTTGGCTTAAGAGAGGAAAGGTGGCCAACTGGACACTTGTTCTACAATCTAGATTAAGAGACAGAGAAGATAACTCTCTCTCTCTCTCATCTCAAAGAACTGATATTTGAATGTGTGCTGAGATTTTCTCTCTTAGAGATATTTAAAATGTCTAAGCTCTTACCTTAGGTATGGGTTATACTTTCAGCCCCTTGAAGGCAAGAACTGAGTATCTGTTATTTTTCACAGCCTAGGGATGATGCTGTGTCCAGCACACATTAAGAACTCAGTGTGTAGTTTATTTAGCTCAATGAAATAGGATAAACTAGCTAGTTTTATGTTTGTCGGAGGCAAAATTCTTACCAAACCTGTAGATAAGCCCTTATTTGAGTAGCAGGGCTAGAACTATAGTATAGAAATATTCACTTACAGGTGGAAACATGTGGTGATCATTTGTTGAACACTTACTCTATGCTAGAATCTGTCTCATACTGCTTTTTCAATAACCTATAGAAGGCACATGCTTTTCCTCTTACGACATTGAAAATGAGTAGCCAGAGGTTACATGCCCGGAATGTGTTATCACTGAGATATGAATTAAAATCTGCATGGCATACAAGAGGTTTCTAGTTGCTCAGGAAAAGAAGTAGTATTCTAGAAGTGCACTGCCATTTTTTTTTGTCCTCGATTCTGAGCTTCTGATGAAAATGTAGACGTCTAGGAGGTTAAAGCATTGCAGATGCATATTGAGGTAGGAAATGTGATATGGACAGAAAGAAGCAAGATGGTTTTTCTTCAGATCCTTATTTATGCACTGTTTTTATGTTGTGTATTTATATAGTTTCTTTAAAAGCATAATTTGTTTAAAAACTAAAGGAAGTCTTCCGTGGAGAAGATGTGTGGGCCACAGGGCTTTCCTCAAGGTGGCAGTGAAGCTTCCTCTGGTGCTTTGTGCACAGTGGAAAGAAACGACATGAAAATAGTTTGGGATGAGGAGAGTCCTGGTTCAAAGTGTGGCTTTGTGATTTATTATGCATGTGATCTTAGACAAACACTTTGTTACCCAAATACAAATGGGAGATCCATGCGGTATAGTTTCGGAAAGAGCTCAACACTTTGAAAATGTGATATAATTGGAAAGTGGATTCTTTGCTGAGACTTGAAGCTGGGAGGAAAGCAGGGGAACTGAGAATGTTGAAATGAGGAGACATTTTCCCTAGGAGATACGTGAATGATCTCCCCTACTATTCTACACTTCTTTGAGCGCTTATTTTGCATATCTATAAAACAAAAACTAGCTTAAATTTCTTTCACAGTCAAAAACCATTCAAGAGAAATCTTACAAGGAAGAGAGAGAGAGCAAGTGTGAAAGTTGTAGCTCTCTGGAGGTATGACTGAGGCAAGCCAGGAACTCTATCTTTGGGCAACACGTCCTCCCATCCTCCCATCCCAACTTCCCCAAGGTACCGCAAGACACATGTGTAGAATATCTTGTGATCAGAAAAAAAATGATTTCTTCTAGCTTTGATAATGCAAGACTTTAAGAAAACCAGCAGAACACAGAAGGATTCCTGTCACATCTGTAGTTATATGGACCAGGAGGACTTACTCAGACGCTAAAGTTTTCTGATAACCCCCCCAAACTCCCCTTACGAAAGACTGACTAGAAGCAATGGGAATACGAGGAGTTGAGAGCTAGTCTGATCACACATAGCTTGTGGTGTTCAACAGCACACAGCGATAGTAAGCGGCAAGTATATAACCTAAGTCCTCTGAAGGAAAGCATGGCCAGCTGTGAGTTGTAACAGAGACCCCCGACTTGGTCCAGTAGAGGACGGTTTGTGCTGAACCGAATAAAGTAGGGATAGAGTGGGGTCCATTTGGAGAGAAGAAATGCCCAATGGGTTCCAGTGGAGCACACAAGACGTTAGTGAGGAACTGCTGGGAAAGCAACCAGACACTGGAGTACAAGAAGAAATCACGAAATATCCAAGAATGTTACGATCTTACTAACACGATTTTGGTAGCTTGAAACTGGACATGGTAGATGTGTTTACACAATGCTAATCAGGTCAGAAAATGCTACAAATCGGGGTTTAATTTCTATCTTCTCCAATCTCCATTTCTCAGCCAGCTGTTAAAAATATACTAGCATGTTACAAGGTTAGGGCTCAAGATTCTGGGCTGTTTGCCATGCTAAAGATTGTACACCTCTCCTCTCCTTCCCGTGTGTGTGTGTGTGTGTGTGTGTGTGTGTGTGTGTGTGTGTGTGTATGTGTGTGTGTGTGTGTGACCTTGAGATAAAGACACTAATGCTATAAATTTCACTGCTGTCACCATGTGACTCGTCTACAGAGACTTGCGATGGACTAGAGAGAACATATCTTGGCAGATGTGGGGCTTCTGCTGTTGAAAAGTCTAGTTGTAAGGACTTGATCCTTAATTACGTCATCGACCTTCGCCAGCTTCCCAGCCTAAAAAGAGGGTGAGCCCTTTGTGGGCTCTCTGTCCCCTCTCCTCTCCGCTCCTTCCTGCCGTCGGCTCCCCTCTCCCCCTCCCCCCCTTTTTGTGTCTCTCTGTCTCTGTTTCTCTCTCTCTCTCTCCTCTCCCCGCCCCAATAAAGCTCTAAAAAGGTAACCATGGCTTCCCCCCCCAATAAAGCTCTAAAAAGGTAACCATGGCTATGATTCTTTTAATCAGCTCGCTGCTCTGACGGCATGGTCGCTGCGGGAGGCGACCAGCCATGAGGGGCAACGCTGCGGCATAACGACCAGCCAGGAGGGGCAACACCGCGGCATAACTAACACTAGTCACCTTACAGGCTTTGGCAATGTGTGAAGACCAAAGAGAAATTCTTTCTTCCTTTGTTCTAAGACATTAAAAATGCCAGCCAAAAATGCTGGCTTAATGTTTACATTACTTTCAGCAGATAGTATACGGGCTAGAGTGAATTGATCAGATTAGATTATCCCTCATAGAAAATAAAATCCCAAAAGAAACACACTCCCCCCCACTCTCCCGAGATGGTGCGATTTCATCTAGAGGGGGAACAAGGAAAGAGCTGGAGAGCTGAAGTAAGCTTCAGAAGGGCCCTTGTCTTGGGATCCCATAGAACTATATGCAAGGTAACTAGATACTGTGCTGTGGAGGGCACAGGAGGAGCCAGTTTGGTATCAACAAAACCAGCTTTGGATAATTTAAGAGGAAAACGCACTTACTGGAGGAAATGATAGCCGGACAACATCTGCAGTAGGCAAAGAACAAAGCTGGAGGTAAGACAATTGGAGCAAAGATAAAAAGCCACAGACAGGGAGCAGTCAAGACCCACCTTGGACACAGAAAGAGCAAGTGAGCCCACCAGTTTCACCAGCATGGGCCTCTGGATTCTGTGGCTAGAAGCAGCCATACATCCTCCTATTCTACCAGCCCTCCCAGGATGGGCTACTTAGCTTTTCATCTGAAATCTGTGGCAGATATATCTAGCTGCAGGACCCCATCAAGTGCTCACCCCAGCTATAAGAAGGGCTGGACTATGAATCTCTGGCTTTTGTAGCTTTTCTGGGAGTTGGAAATGTTTCTTCCTATGTAAGTGATTTCCCTACTCACAGGGAGGGACAAGTCAGTTCTGATACTAAGCCAAGCATAGGGTGTCAATGAGGGTGAATTTCAGAGGGCGTTTCTTCACCCTAATGGTCAGCCAGGATCCTGAGCTTCCTTCCTTTGTTCCCAGACATTAAACATGCCAGCTAAAATGCTACAGCTTTCTCTTGTACAAAACTCCACTAAAATCCAGAACCATAGGATACTTCTCAATTCAGTGAACATTGCTCCAATGGTCTTTTCTTTTTATTTATTTATTTATTTATTTATTTATTTATTTATTTATTTATTTATTTATTTATTTATTTTCAGACAAGGTCACACTTGCATAGGGCAGGTTGACCTCAAACCCCAGATCCTCATGCCTCAGCCTCCTGAGTGCTGCCATTATAGGCAGGTGACACTGCTCCTTGACTTTTAAATACTTCCTAAGAGCTCTTCATGCATTATCTTAGGTTCTCTTGCGGTGAACTACTTCTCCTTACTTTTCAGGTGAGACACAGAGCCACAGAAATATCAAGTGACTTTCCCAAAGCCTCACAGCTAATGAGAAGCTGAGATGTGGAGTCCAGAGCAATTTCTGCCTGCTCTGTCTCAGAAAGCAATCTTCCTGAGAGTAAAAGCCACTGTTCATTTCTCCCAAGGTTGGTCAACACTTGGGATGATGAGGTTGCAGTAGAGGTAAACAACTTAAGTATTTAAGACACTGGGGTGAGGGGGAAGGCAAAGAGAATAATGGGTGAATTGAGAATAGACGATTGGGAAGATGAGTTCTACCTATAAAATTCACATGCGAGGCCGGGAAATGGCCCCTTAAAGAGTTTCTAGAACATCTTCCCAAGGGTGAGATTTGGTCCCAGGAAGCACAGATGGCAGAAAAGGCAGCATGGCTTCACTGATGAGCATAGAAGACAGCTGGGGTGGCATGGACATGTCCCAGAAGGTGATATCCTATTTTTATTGCTTATCAACGCAGATATTCTTTCGAAAGCCAGACTGGTCAGGTCATCTTCGTCTACACTTTATGATTATAAAGTACTATGGCTTCCTTGGACATTCTGTCTCTGGAAACAACTTTATACTATTTAATTGTCCTCTTTCGATTGTTCCAATCTCTAGTCTTGATTTGAAAGTTCAATATCGGCACTCAGTATCTTTTAGAAATTAGTTGTAAATGATCTTCCTGCCGCATAAATGAGGCCCAGTCTTATTGTATAAAGCCATAAACATCCCATATTTATTTCTCAGATCATCTAAATCATTGTTTCAGTGAATAGTAGGCTTGTAGGCTTCAGTTTACAATTGAATTGGATTGGATTATGTGCTTTCTTCTGATTTTAATTCTCTGCTTCACCAAATCCAAAGGAACTTATTGTGCTCCGGAAAAGCAAATAGGTTTTCTGATCAGGTGGGCCTATTTTCAATTATTAGAATCTTGGAAAAAAATGTTGCTAATAAAACCAGCAATTAGAGATGAGCACAGTTAAAATGGAATGAAATGCCTTAGCCCTTCCTGGTGACATGTCCCGGGGGCCTTTTTAGGCATAGACAGAGGACAGGGATGGCATTACAGTTGCCAACAAGAATCCTGGAATAGACAGAGGGATGGTTCTCTCCACCTGCTTTCACTCACTAATCCCCATGTTACTTCCAAATTCTTTTGATTAAACTTGAAAACAAAAAGCTTCCTTAGATTAAGGTGGCGAGATTCAAGAAGGATTATTTTCTCAGAGGCTGCCCTGAAGGTGACTGTTAATCATTTTATTTGAAAATTCAATATTGCCAAACTCCCACGCGGATTCCAGTCCAAGAACTCCAGAGAGTTTTCTGGCCCCTTAGTACATAAGATTTATAGCTTGGTGTTCCAATTAAGTAAAACGCAAGAGGCAAAGCCTAGAGAGGAAGAATATGGTCAAGACACAGAAGAGAAAAGTGGCCATTCTTGTTCTAATCCGCCAGCTTTGGGCATGGGGTGACATTCAGGTTCAGCATTAGCTAGCTCTAACTTGCCAGCCTGGCCATCTGCTTAGTCAAATTTTCCACACTGAAACATTAGAACCGTGAATGACTTTCAAATCACGACCACGTTTTGCACAGCTATCCTAGGCAAGGTTCTTCCGGTCCCAGCTAATTTACATCTGAGAATGCCAAAACTCAGAGATAGGTAAAGCAGAGAATTAAGACCCTGGAGCCAGACAACTCCCATCTCGATCCTATTTGGGCATCGACTGGCTGTGTGAACTGAGTGTCCTTAGATATGAAGGGGAATCATAATAAGATAAGAGAACGTACTTCATAGAGGTGTTGAAGAGACAAACGAATTTTCATCTGTAAAGCACCAAGACTGCACTTGTTACATGGTGAAGTTGAATAGTTTATTGCTATTTATCATTCTGCTTACTGTTACCACTGGAGCTGCAATCTGAGTAACTCTGGTAGGTTCTCAAGGTCAGGTCCTTTCATTTATTGTCCAATTGTTTTTTCATTATTTCAAAGAACAAAGAAGGACACTTCTACTTATGTGGATCGGCATTTGTTTGCAGACTCAGTGGACACACAGCAATAACATCTTTGTGACTCTCTTGCAGGCTTGTTTACTGTTTGTCAGCCAAGCAGACAAGTGAATAAAATACCAGAAGAGTGGCTCTCCAGAGAGGGCTAAGGGGGTAGACCCTGGTGTGTGCCCTTGGCTGACTGAGTCAGGGATTTTTTAGGAAATGGCTTAAAATGAATTACTGAGAGTGCTAACAGTCAGTGCTCTTGTTGGGAGGAAAGTGAGTAAGGTGTGGTAGGAAAAGGTTCAGGTTAAAGGTTAAAAATGATATTGCAAACTAAGTAAAAGGGAGAATAGGCACAGATAGATGCTATGTATAAATTGATATGCAGTGTGAAGTTTTGCAATTTTTTATTACTGCTTAAAATAGGATCAAATATGACCAATGACAGACATATTGAACGCATTACGCTATCCAACACTATGGGTTCTTCTGCAGCCATTGAGAAGAAAGAATCACCACTTGCAGCTGACTTACAAGGATTCCACGACTCATTATTGAATAAGAATGCAGTTATGCGGAGAATGGGTACAATCGATCCTAGTTTAATAAAACACATGCAGACAAACAGATGTCTATGTGTACATTTCTAGAAGATTCCAGGAGGAAGGGGAGAATAAGGAGGCACAAATACTGTACTGTTAATGTGGATTGCATTACTAGGGGGAGGAGCTGCTGATGAGCAGGGAGGACCTGCATCTACAGCTGGAGAAGTGTAAACTCTGTAGCAAGGAAGGCATCGCGGCATATTTATATTTGGCTCTGTGCATAAGAAGAAAGAATAAATTCTGATACTGGCAGGCATTTTAAAATCAATGTGCATGCCTAATGATACGGTTCTTTCTCCTTAAAACTTGTCATCAATTTGGTAGTGCAGCTGGCAGATCTTGAAACTGAAGAAGTCTAGTGAGGGCAGGTATAGCAAGGCACAGAACAAGGGGGGGGGGCTTGTCTCTGTTTCCGTTGCTTTGATCCTGAACTTCTAGGACTGTAGCTGGCCACTGCAGAGAACACTGGACATGTATGGCCAGGCAGCACTGGAAACATGGGTACTCCAGGGAGCAATCCACTTGAAGTCTAAAAAAGCATGTATCCAATTTCAAAGACAACGTGTAATTGGACATAAAACTAAGAAAAAGTGAAATAGCTCATTGATATTTTTTTCATACTGATTATATGTTGATGAGAGTGAAATAAAATATATTATTAATACATTGTTTATATTTATGTAAATATGTATTATTAAAATTGACTTAATCTTTTACCTTTTTAATATGGCTGTTAAAAAATTTAAATTTATACCTGTGGGGCTGGAGCTGAGCTCAGTTGGTATGCGCTTGCCTAGCATGTAGGAAACTCTGGGTTCAAACTCTAGTACTGCCTAAACTGAAACCCCAGCATTCCAGGAGAAAGGGCGCTCAAGGTCATCATCAACTACATAGCAATTTTGACGGCGTCCTTGGTTACATGACATCATTTCTTACCCCTCTAAAACAACAAGAAACCCAAACAAACAAATAAATAAGTAAGTAAGTAAATATTACCCCGGTAACTCACATGATATTTCTATCAGACAATACTGTCCTAGAGAAATATGGAAAATGAGATGACAGGTTCCCCAAAAGGAAACTACGTTTTATATAAGTTGGGGTAGGAAATGCTATGGTTTGTGGTAAATAGCCTATCTTTGGGTCAGAGGAATTTTCATATGAAAGCTTGGCCTTTGATCAATCTCATCATCATCCCTGGAGGTACCCTTGAAATTAAACTCCTTGGCCCCATCGGATGCCTTCTGAACTAGAAAATGTACGAGTGGAGTCCCCATAATCCATGACATTCTAAGTGATTCCAACGCAAGCTCAAATGTGAGAACTCCTGCCTGAAGATCACGCAGAGCTTGGACAAAAGCCATGCTACCAAAAGCCAAGAAGATAACGTAGTTAGTGTCGGTTTGGGAGCAAGACACACTGCACACGAAGCGTATCCGAAAGGCAATGAATTCAGCATGGGACAAGAACATAGGTTTTTAGCAAAGGGTCATTTCTGAGGAGAAATTCTGGGCAAGTAAATAGTGGTTAAATGGTTCAATTACTTTGAAGTTTCAGCCTCAGCCTCTGAGCTGTCATTACTGTGTTTCTCCAATAAGTGTGGTTTTTACCCACACGACAGCTTGGGAATCAAGGAGATGTGTATGAGACATGGCATTTGGAGCTATTTTAGACGCTTTAATGGCCTCATTTTTTTTTAAAGGCAGTGTTCACTGGAAACAAAATGGTATACACTTACCTTCGGATTTGAAACAGGTAAGAAAAGAAGGTTACTCAGCTTTTCTCCACTTTCATATACAATTTGTTTCCTTTAAACAGACTTATTCCTCACATAGTCTTTGCAAACTTCTTACTTCATCAGTGAGAGAATTGTGCTTCTTTTTTCCCTTCTTTAATAATATGCATGGACGAACATGTTAGGATGGAAGCCATGCCTTCATAGTTGATGGGCAGAATGATTATGCTTGTCAACAAAGCATACACACACACACACACACACACACACACACACACACACACACACACACAACATCCCATCATCGAGATGAAACATGAGTTTAGTTATAGTCAAACACATGGAATGCCTTACAAAAGCAACAGAAATTGGAGATGATATGTGATTTATTTCACTATCAGAACATATGACAACAGATGATGGTCATTTTTTTTGGCTAGGATAGTAATGTATTTTTAGACACGCCGTTGGTACAGTAAGACACAAAGTGGTGTTTTCTGTGATGATAACTAATAATGTCTATAGATAGTTTCTAACCCTGAAGCAGAAGTGATGACACAGTTAGTATAAACAGAGTCCACAAGTAAACAATACAACTAGTTAACTTATTTGGAGAATGACAATGAACTTAAAATTCTACGTGCAAGTATTAACCATGTACCACTGTTTGAACACTTTAAAACAATTTTGATGAGACAAATAGATTTTATCTACTTGTGGATATGGGTAACTACAAGTGAAAGCTAAGTAATTATGCGGTAAAGTTTATTAAAGAAGGAAATAAAGACTGCATATACTAAGAGATTTTGATCTAGTTTATGAGAAGAGACTAAGGAGAAAAGCTCTGAGGAAGTGTTGTGTGATGAGAAGAATTCAGGAAGGTGAGAGGGTCCAGTCAAGGAACATTGTCCTTGTAACCTTTCCTCAGTGCAGTTATCAAAGACATGGAGCTTGGGGAACATTCTTGATTCTACATAGTTAGAGGCAGTGAGAGGGTATGAAATAAAAGTTAAGAGACTTGACCTAGTTCTTAATGTTTTTAAAAGCTATTTTGAGGCTTGTGGATTGTATCTGAAAGACAACTGAAACCATTATATGACTAGAGTTATCATTTAAAATTTGTTAATTGTTACATTGGCTTCAATATAGGTAACAGCTGAATCAGAAGTCCTTACTGTGTTAAGGAAAGTAAAGAGATGAAAAATTTTTCTGCATGAGTCAGAAGTAATGGTAGACTAGTTCAGGATGGCAGCAATGGGGAACACAGAGAAGTGGATAAATATGCACCAAGTTTAGGAAACTATCAGCATGATTCTCTCATGTTAGCAGTAGCCTGGGCCTGGGGGATGACGTAGAAGAAGGTATCACATAATTGACTGACGTAAGCGCATCTGTGGAAACATCAAGTGCAACTGAGATGGCTCCCGAAATTAGGACCGAGCCAAACTCCTTATGACCTTGGCAAGAGCAATTTCCGGGGCGGCAAAAGCAAAACCCATGTTGGAACGTAGGAGCAGGTTGAGGAATGGGGTTGGGCTAAGGTTGTAGCAATAAAGGAAGCCAGAGAGTGAGCTGACCGAAGACAGACAGCACAATGAAAGAGGGCGAAGCACTGGCTGAAAAGAATCCTGGGGGAGGAGATAGTGTTTGTGAAACAGGAGTGGTGGGGTGCATTGACAGAACAGCATCGGTGAAAAAGGCAGGGGACATTGAACTCTATGTTCTTAGATGGGAAGCAGACTCATTGACCGTAACGATAGGAAGCTGAAAGGGTTTCTGTCCGATCACTTCTAGTTTCTTTGGGAAGTAGGTGGGACATGAACCTGCAGAGAGTGGAGGGAGAGGAAGGGGACAGAAAAGGGCCGAGGCAGCTGACTGGGGAGGCATAATAGAATTGTTGAGCGGGCCTGACGGCCCAAGTGAAGAAAACGGCTACAATTTATGTGGTAGCAATTTGATTGCTACTGTGATCTTTCTCTCCGGAGCTCAACAATATTGTCAAAGAGAGCTCCAGGCAGACAGCATTTAATAGCCTTGCGACCTCTGGGAAAGCACCTCTCTAGTCTGTCGGTTCTTCCCTTCCGCACTGCTTTCTCATCTATGAACTAAGAACAAGATTACCTCCCGCACAGCCATCGGAAGAGTTAATATGCATATAAGGTGCTGAGAATAATGGACTCACAGTGCCCGTCTATGAGTGTTTGCTATTATCCGGGTTTGGAGCTTGGCAGGAACTGAGAATGGCACCAGCAAAGGAACGGATGATATGAACAAGAGAACAGATGAAATTGTAGACCAAAGGGTTAAACTGAAGGCCAAGAGATGTGAAGACATTGATTTTTTGGGAAATCACCAGATTGATTTGTATTTATTAGAAGTCTTCTGGTATTGGATTCCTGGCCTTGGATTATAGTATGCTAGTCTTGCTGACAAAATCAAACTATTGATACAAATGTGCTATGAAAAAATACTTTTGTACACTGGTTTAATAAAACGCTGATTGGCCAGTAGCCAGGCAGGAAGTATAGGTGGAATAGGCAGACAAGGAGAATTCTGGGAAGAGGAAAGCTGAGTCAGGAGATGCCAGCCTGTCATCCAGGAAGCAGCATGTACACACAGGTAATGCCATGGAAAATGTGGCAACATACAGATTAACAGAAATGGGCCGAGTTTAAGTGTAAGAGCTAGACTGAACTAATGGCCAAGCAGTTATAATTAATATAAGCCTCTGTGTGTTTACTTGGGTCTGAGCAGCTGTGGACAGGGCAGGACACAGGAAAACTTCCAGCTACACAAATGAATAATAGTATCTCGGTTCTATTACCCCAGTTCCTCATCTTCTTTGGCAATGGTACCAAAATGTACAGAATTTACATTTAAAAATGTATTTTCTTTGAGAACTTTAGCTTGAAGCAGTTCCTGTGGACACTCCATGTTCTGGAATGCCTGAGGAATGGCAAAGTTCTTAAGGGGAGAAAAAATTATAAGAAGCAATAGTAGGGGAATCCCCCCAGTTAAGGCAATATTGTTTAAAGCTGGGAATTTGGCAACCTTTAATGTTCTTTTTCTCAATGTCTGCAATACAATTTAGGCCAGGAAAACAATCAGTTTGGTCTGAGCTAGAATTGCTGCAGAATAAACAGCCTCGAAAATTGAACTTTAAAAGGAACTCTCTGCATTGCCAATGTGCCGAGACACTCAGAGGTGTGATTTTTGTCTCAGAAAATGCATTTCATATGGTCATTCAGATCATGCATTTAGACCCTGGCTATTTGTCATA